GCTTAGCGTTGATTTCCTTTCGGCATTTCGGTCTCATAACTCATACGCATCATGGGCTCTGGCTCTGGCTCTGGCTCTGGCTCCGTTTCTGTTTCTGTTTCTGTTCCTGTTAACGCTCCCGTTCCCGTGCTCGTTGCCGGCTCACTGCGCAAAGGCGATGAATGCGAAGGAAATAAATATTTTATTAAATCGATTTGGTCTCAGTTGTTTCTGTTCATGGAGCGGCTGGTGCTGCTGTGGATTTGGGGCAGCAATGACAACAGCTTGTAAAATACCAAAACCGCTGACAGCCTGGTGATTTATTTATGTTCTGCGGTGCACAATCGTTGGCTGCCGCCATCGCCTCCCCGGTTAGGTGTGTCTGCTGTCTGTCTGTGGCTGGGCCCCCGATTCCTGCTGCCGCTTCACAGAGATATTAATTATTTTTCCATTGAAAAAGTGTCTAAAAGCTCAATGAAATCTCGCATCCCTAGGCGCACCCCACTGTCACGCCTGCACATAGGCCACGTACGATGTGTAGGCGAGTCAAGACTTGGGCTCGGGGCTTTCCAATGTCTGGGACTAAAGTATCATGAGCAAGGACTGCTACAGGACTCCAGTCACCGCTGGCTGTCCTATTTTCCCAACAGATGTTGTTTATTGCAGTCAGATGCTGTTTAAGGAAGGTCAATTAAATTACTCTTAATACACTTAAGTTGAGGGACTCGCTGCCACGCATAATTGTATCCAAAAATTGTTTGCCCTGAATTAAGTTTCGTGTAAATGAAATTAGTTTCATTTTAAGCCCTGCCTAAGCAATCAAATTAGTTGGAGCTGGAACTATTCATAAATTATTTTCAAACAATTTTCTTTTCTCTTTCGCTACGAGATAGTAAAATAAACAAAATTCAGTATGAAAATGGGTTGGTCGGTTTATAAAGCATATTTTGTTGAAATATTTAATGCAAACACATAGAGGTTTTTCTATTCGAACCCCCGGGTATCCCCACCAACTTTGTCAACTCTCCACCTTTACATTTATTCGCAGTTGTGTCCTCGGGCTTTGCCATTTAGTTTGAAAAAAACGGGAAACGTGAAAATTTTGTGGGTTTTTTTGCCATAAATGTATTTTTTTTTTTGCTGGCTTTTCCCCTTTTACAGGAACGACAGACAAGCATATGTACATATATTTGACTTTTTTATAACCGGTACTAGGAGGGTTCTAGGGGTATATTAGATTTTTGGTGAAGCAGAAAGGTTTCCGAACCTATTCAATCTAAATTTTATGGATCACTCTCAATAGCTGAGTCTTTCTGTTCGTCTTGATGAGCGCCGACTGAGTAACGGGCATAAAAGTTGAGTCGCTCTTTAAGGCGACTCACAACGTTTATCTTCGTTTTTTATCGATGTGTTTATCAAATTTTAAACTATTTTTTGCTTGCTGTGTCGTTGCCTTTTTGGAGCATGTTGCAATTTAAGTATCATAAAAATGCAAATGCAGGCTTGTAGCACACAAACAGACAGAGAGAGATAGAGAGAGAGAGAGAGAGAGTGCCAGAAAGAGGGAGAGAGAAAGGGGAATATTTATAAAGCCGATAGAAATTGAAAGCTTTGGAAAATTTGCACTTTCTGTTCAAACTCTTCACCCGCTGGCTGCCACAAATATAAATATACACTACAGAAACTCTTACCCATATGTACATATATCAAAATATGTGTTTACAATGAGAGATTACCTCAGCTTATGCTTAAATATGCCATGACATCGATGAGTGACCTAAGAACAATTGAGAGAGGATTGCCGTCTGGCTGCGAATGGATTGGAAAATGCCAAGATGACAGTTTTTCGGCACTGAAATAGGTATTAGAAAATGCCCAACACCACCAGCAAGCTTTGTGGTATAGGATAAAATGCACTTCCTGCTGCCTAGGGCAAGTCGAAGCTGGCACAAATGTTACACCATGGAGAGGATTTAATAAGTTAAACGGTATTGGAATAAAAGGAACAGGAACTAGAGCCACATTAGTTTAAATTTTAATTAACTATTCACCCTTGAACCGATGGATGTTGCCCTTTAAAAGGGGAAAATGAATGCCGAGCAAACTGTTCATGGGCTGTAAGGATGTAATTGCTCAGTGTAATGGACAAACATACCGTTAAATAATTATGCAAAAAAAAGTCCATTCAAGCAAAGGTGAAAGAGGAGGATGCTGCAAAATCAACAGGCCATAATGGGTTAACTAAGGCTTCCTGGTGGAGCGGAGGGGAGGGGAGGGGAGAAGCGAGGCCTACTCAACAGTGCATCACCTGTCCGTTGCACGCTGTCTACGCTAGCTGCTGTCCGCTGTCCGCTGTCCGACCTGTCCGTCCGTCTGTCTATTAATTAGCCCAAAGTGGATGGCGGTGATTGCCGGGCACGGGGCTGTCGAAGCTGCTCGTGGCTTGGCGCTGGCAAGGGCATACGGCCCGCTAAAATATGCAACATCCTCATTACAAGCATAATAATTAAACTCCAGAGTGCCCGGAGAGACTGAAATACGAGTTTGCACAGCGAAAGCCAGCGGTGCGGCTCAGTTTGCTTACGCGATTTAAAATTACATTCATCCACATCCACGTAGACATTCCGTGACAGGACTGTGCAGGGTGTGTGTGTGTGTGTGGGTGTGCGTGTGTTGCATGGATTTGTGTTATTTGCCCCCAAAGCACCAAGAATAACCCAACAGTGCAAAGCAAAGCAAAGCAAAGCAAAGCCAAAGCCAAAGCAGAGCACCGAACGTGCCAGGCGACTCCATCGCCATCGCAGTACATACGTAACCCCTTGTGCTTGTGCTTGTGCTTGTGCTTCTGGGCCTGGTTTGCGTGCAAATTAATGTGACATTTATTCATTATAGCATGACACAGTCACATGGCAGGCGAGGGTGAGGGAGAGGAGATACCGCAATAACTGTAAACCAAGTACCGCACAGTGGCTGAAAACTCTCCGAAAGTGGTGAAGCTAGATCTTTACATTCAATAATGCATAATTATTAATGCGGCTACAGACAAAGAGACTTCACAAATTTAAATATAAGGCAGCCAAGAATATGTAATCGATGTGTAAGCGATGACATTTGTAGTTGAGATTTGTCATTGCTGGCTGACTTCTGGTGCTGCAGGGTGAAGACAAGCCTACTCCAGGCCGAATCAGAAGCGAAAATAAAATAAGGCGAGTCCTTTTGTTATTACAAATACAAATACGTATATATGTATGTCCCTGTCTATCGACACTCTGCGGCGACACGTTATGCGTTAGATGATGCAAAGGAAGCCTGAGAAATGTGAGAGGAAACCACATTGAGGTTATCGTCATTGGACTAATAAATAATATAATAAGTAAATGTTCTCTATGTATTTGTTGTCACTGCTTATTGTTAAATTTCCAAGTTCGTTTCTGTGCAAACGCTTACAGAATTTCCTGGTTACTGGAGTTCTGTTGAGCATTTTCCGGTCTAACGCCTCTCAAGAAATGTCTGAATCTGCTTGCATCTCTGCCGTTTCGGGGAATGATTGATTACCCTTATTTTGTGTGTTGTTTGTTTTGACTAAAGTAAAGTCTGAAAGAAGGCAGGAAGAAAGGAAGACTTTCGTTTCCTTTCTTATGATAATGCAGTAGGAGTACTAAGTAATTAGAATTGCTAAATATGTTCTGCACCAATACGTGCGACTGAGCACAGAACAAAGAACGGCTTAAGGAGAAAGACGCTGTGGGTCATTTCTTTGACATGGCCTCCAACATTTATCGTACATACAAAGAGGCAATAATTTGGTTTATTCTTTGGCTTCTTTCCAAGTACTTAACTCGAATTGTTCCCACTTTGAGCGATTGATGCTAGAATCTAGTTGGTATAACTATAGAAATAAATACACAAATAAATACACTTAATGTAAGTTTGTAAACGGAAATAATGGCACATTAGAAAAAACTGTGCAGCTTCTGAAGTTTGGCACTTTATATCTTCATGTGTATAGAAGGTTCCTATAATGTACGAATGGATGGTATGAGCATGCGAGTATTTATAGTGATTGATATTTGTGGTCCTGCACTGAGAAAAAAATAATAAAATAAATAAATAAAATAGTTATGAAAAATATTTCAATTAAAGAGAAAAATAAACTGAAAACATTTACAGCAGAATGTCACCAAATAAGAATTGTTCAGAAATTAGAACCGGGTATTGCAACGCAAATTATAAATTAGTTTCTGTGGTTCTCTTTACTTCTTCTCTCTTTCTGGCTCGCATACGCTGCTCCCTCTGGCAGAGGTGGAAGAGCTTTTTTTCAACGGTTTTGTGTTGTGCGACCCATGCAGCGTCTCACAACGTTCCTCATCGGTTCTCTCTGTGTGTGTTTGTCAACATTCCCCCTCTTTCGCCACAGCATTGCGCTCCACAAAATGTCAATTCAGTCAATGACAGAGCATAAAAGATACCTGGGTGTGTTGGGCAGAGCCAAAGGCAAAGGCAAAGGCAGAGGCAGAGGAAGAAAATCTTGTCTGTTCAACTATGAGTGAAACCTATTTTTTCTGAGGTCATGCATCGGATCTGCATGCAAGCTCACATATGTACATATACATATGTATGTACATAATAGATGCAGTTGGGTATGTAATGCGTGTGTGTGCTCTCACGAATATATTTCGCATAGAAAGAGACCCAAAGTGGAAGTCAATTCAAGCAGCTTACCTTTATTTAAAGGAAAAAGAACACACACACACACACACAGCTAACACACACATATTTTTTGTTCGAAATGTACTTGAGCAGGTTCTCCCCACTAGCCCGTGCCCACTTCTTTGACCTTTTTTCTATTTTATTTTATTGTGGGGCATTCATGTGTACGGGGCACATCTTTTCTTTCAACCCATCCGAACAATTTCAATTCTCTCCATCTCTCTCCCTCTCTCTCTCTCTCTCTCTCTCTCTCTATCCATCCTTCTATCGCTTTTTCTATACGTTACTCACCTCGTCCTTATTTTTTGCAGATTTCAATTTGCAAGAAGAGGCCTCCATACCGGAGGACATATTTGACCAGCACGATGGCGACATTAAAGATACCGACTCCCAGCTGCACTATGCCCCAGCCGCCTCTGAAGCAACCGCTGTCGATGATGATGATAATGTGGATGTGGATGTGGATGATGATGATGATGCCACAGATGCCGCAGATGCTGGACATGCTGAAGATGCGATCGGGTCTGCGTGGAGCGATGCGGACGCTTCAGCCCCATGGCATGAGGATGAGGATGAGAAGGAGAAGGAGACTGATGCATCCGAGGCAGCGGATATAGTAAGTAAACAAAAACATACATATGTATGTACACACATACCCACAAACCCACTTGTAAGTACACATAGAGTGGCTGAGCCCCACCGCCGGGCCAAGTCCGCTAGGAATGGGGTCAGTTGTGTTGGGTGGTCCATTGAAATGTCGCAAGAAGGAAGCGAGGCCTCAATGCTGAAGGTCTGCATTGAAATTCACTTGAGAAAAAAAAATGTGCTCAAGCCATTCAGATGAAAATCATTTTGGAGACCAAACAATTCAGACCCAACTTCTATAAGTTCGAAGTTGAACTAAATTCTGCATTCATTAAATATTCTCTAACACTGAGGAACTAAAGCGAAGGTGGGAGAGAATAAGCCAAAATACAGAAGGAAAAATACTTTCTAGTATTTTCCTCACAAAATTCACAAAGTCAACGAAGGGAAGACAAAGTAAAAGAGTGAAAAAGTAAAGCAAAAGTAAAGCAATCTCTCACAGTGTTGTTCCTAGTTAAATTTGTTTATTTACATTTATTTATCCTATATTTTATGTGTTTATTTACATGCAGATACTTGAATCTCAAAGGCCCACAACGAGAAACTTCACTGTGCAGCTGGACACAAAGGAAACATTCAAAAGGAAGAAATTCTCGAGTCAGAAGCCTAATACGAGCCAAGTCTTATACAAATTGGGAAACAAAAAGGACCGCCAGCAGCCGAAGAAATTGGTCAATGAAGGAGCAGTAAAGGAGGAGGAGGAAGCCAAAGCGACAGAGGCAAGCACGGACAATGCAAAGCTCGAAAGGAAAAGAATAAGGTATACAAAATTGAAGGAAATGCACGAACAGCGAAATCAACAGAAGGAACAACAGAAACCCAAGCAGCAGGATCACGGTGCAGGCAGAACCAAGTGGCAAATCGGTGAGAAGGGGGAGAAGAGAGAGCGAGAGGAACAGCTGGTTGATTCCATTGAAATATTAAATGAACGAAAATGTAATAAACCATCAGGAGAATTAGCAATGGAGGAGCAGCTGGATCCAGAGCAAGACACTTTTCAGATAGAGAAGAGAAACGAGAAAGAACCAGAGATGGAGAGAGTCAAGGATGATGATGAGAAAACATTCGGCGATATTGAAGACAATTTTGCTGAAGATAAAGTAATTGACATTGACGAATCATCCAAAAATCAAGAACCGCCACCAGAAGCCACAGCTGCCACAAAGTTAACATCAACGGGAAGCGGAGAGGCCACAATGCCACCGACTGTGGCCATGATTGGGCGCAAGGAGAAGCGTGGCTTTTTCCGCATGTACAGGCCAGATCTGATGGCTAAATATTTTGAAAAGTTCGATGAGCCTGACAATACACCGGTTAATGTTGAGGACGAAGACCTTGATGCGCCCGTTGGGAAACTGCACTACTTCGAAAACGGCGGCCAGCCACAGGAGCAGCAGCATCCCTCACAAAAGGAGTTGCCCACACGGACAGAAAATGGAACGCAGCAGCAGCAGCAGCAGCAGCAGCCCGAATCACGTTACACTGACGATCAGAATGCGGAGGAGCAGCAGCCAGAACAGGAGCCACAGGAGCCACAGGAGGACAGGCTCGTAAGTCTTGAGATGAGGAGTAGCGAGACGGAATCGGAAAAGGAATCTGAAATGGAATCTGCATTGCAGCCGTTTCAGGGTAAGTCAATAACCAACAAAGAAGCAAAGATAATCTGTACAAACGATAGAAGCGAAATCAAGAGACCCGTTACATAGTGTTCCATGTGCAGTTATGTTGGCTTCTTCTTCGTGCATTTTTTTGTCTCGAGCGCCGTGAGACGCTTCTATTCCTTGTGCCAGCCTCTCTTTGCTAACGCAATGCTTCCCACCGTACTGCATCTTTCCCTCTCTCTCTCTCTTTGCAATTCCCTTTTGATCCCCCTCTCTCTCAGTGGAAAGTGCACCACCACGCCCCACACCACGCTGAAGCGTTACTCTCTCGATCTCAAAGCTCGCTCTCTCGCTCTCAGCAACAATGCGAATAAAATAAATAACGGGATAACTCACTGCGTAGTTTCTGTTCCTCTTATGTACACACAACTTTAAAGAAGCTTAAGCACGCTAATACAAAGTTCAAAGTGTGAAGACAGGAAGGCAGGGGGGGGCAAGCTGTGCTGAGTAACAGATTGTATGTACAACATATACACATACGTACATATGTATTTAAGGTACGCGGCAAATATAAAAATTCCAATCCAAATCCAATCCTCGCTCGGCGTTTTGCCCAACTTTGAAGCGGGTTCTCTTGTCATTTTTCGGGCTTAGGCTCTCAGTCCAGAACTGGACCTCAGGGGATACTAAGTCCCATCCGACTCTGACTGTCATATGTGTGGATGAGTGGTTGTTATGCTGCATTTTGTTTAAAGAAATCATCCCAAAGCATGCCCTTAAAGAGCGGTATACGATATCCTATCGGCATTCAAATATCTTTAAAGGGACTGAAAATTCTTGAGAATGCTGCTGGTAACAAGGCGCTGGCAAGTGGGTGGTTTGGGTTCTGTTTGGGTACCCCCCTAATTAGTTTAGGTAAAGACTTTCCGGTCGAAATTGTTGCAAATTATTTCCCGTTTTTTTCCCCCGTCCAAAAGGGAAGGAAATCAAACGGAAAAGTCTTTTGCTCTGCTCCACTGCAAAAGCCCTCAACAGAGAATCTTTAAGAGAGGCAAAAGCAAGCTCCAAGCTCTGGCATTAAACAATAAAGCTCGCCAAATGGCAAATTTCGTGAATACTCGTTGTCGTAGGCGTACTTATATAGGCCAGCATTCCCTAAGGGGCAGAACATTCTGCCTTTCCTACTAAGAAATCCCATGCCTTGACCAAGGAGCGGTGACCCAAGAATTAAGTTTTGGATTGGATAACTGTTGGGGCTGGGGCTGCGGCTGGGGCTGAGGCTGGGGCTGGAGTTAAAGCCATCACAGCCACAGCATCCGACAGACGGTCGGACATTTCCCCACAACATATTGCAAGCAGCCCTTGTCCATGGCTGAGTGAAGCCTCTCCAAATACCAGAGGAACGAAGGGATTGTATTTTGTGTGGTCAGGTTACGATCTCTGGCTATCATTGAGCCGGATTAAACTACCAACGCACAACCTTGTTTTGAATAAACTGGTTCTGGGCTAACTTGAGTCACGTTGTGGTATCTCCCATGCCTGCGGACAAGTATCTATTTTGTGTTTAAGTCTGCGAAAATGTTACTACATAAAGATATATATCTTGGCACTTGCAATCGATGTTTGCACATGTAACTTGCGATTTTCATAGAGCGTCGAACAGCTCAAATTTAAACGTAAAACTCTTCAACTTTGCGCAACAATTTATCCGCTTAAAATTTCCAAAGAAATGCTACTAAATGCTACTTGCTAATTACTTTTGTGACTATGGATTTGCAGAGGCTGCCGACAGTTGGAAATTATCCTCATTTGTGGAATCTTTCACGTGTTTGCATGCAGGAAAAAATAAGTCAAAATTCTGCGAACTTTTGTGCGTTAGAGGAGACTAGAGGGGGAGAGCGTTGTCTTAAATTGTATGCTTCTGGGTTGCTTCATGGAGTAGAGAGAGTTCTGGTTCTGAAATCTACATCCCGACGTTACTAACAATTTTGTCTAATTTTTGTCCATCTACAGAGACGGTCACGGTGCCGGCCACAACCATAACACCAATCTCGGCGACACCTTCCTCTGCTTTTGAGTTGTTTAAGGCGTTGCGGCGCAGCCATCAGAAGGCCGGACACAAGAGCCACAAGAAGCGCTATAAGGATTACCTGAAACGTCATCATCAGTCATTAAGGCAGCCACTGGCACCACTGGCACCATCACCACCACCACCGAGTCTCTCTCCCCGTCATGCCCAGAAGTTGCTCGAGGAGCAAGAGAGGGAGCGGGAGCGGGAGCGAGCACATTCTGCGCCCATTTTCGCTTTGGGTATACGTCCCCGGTCATTGCTGTCCACTGATAAACCCTTCTACGAGGGACGCGTATATTACTACGACCATCCCCAGGGGGGCATGGCCATGAAGCAGGACCTGGAGGAGCAGCAGCAGACCACAGAGATGGAGCGACTAATAGCACACGACAATGATAACTGGTACCGTCGCATAAGTCCCATCCTACGCAACGGAGTCAAAAGTGGCCGTGGCGAGCAGCATCCTCATCATCAGCAGAAGCACCAACACCATCAGAGCCATAAAGGACATCATCAGCACCAGTACAAGCAGCACCACAACCAGCATCACAGCCATCACCACCACCACCACACCAACCATCACAATCCGGACCAGAAAGTAGGTCAATTGCTGCAGAGGTCGAACAATCCGTACCAGCGCAGGGCCCACCAGACGCCAGCAGCCTCGATGGCAGATTCTCCGAGCAGTTCGGTGGCCACTCCACCGTTGCCACCGTTGCCACCGCCCACCCAGCAGCTGGGACATCAGATCACCGAGCTGGAACACCTTGAGCGCTACTACGCCAAGTGGCCGCATCTAGCACGGGTGCAGTTCCAGCTGTACGACGAGCAACGCGAGCCTCAGCAGCAGCCTCTGCTGTATGGCGACTATGGGGACGATTACGAGAGTGCAGCCGAGCTGGAAGAGGCACAGGAGGAGCAGGGCGAGGAGGCCAATCTGCCGCCGTACATCAAGAAGTACAATCGGCGCAACAAGCAGCTGCTCAACCTGCTCGAGGGCACCCTGCCACCACCAGCAGCACCGCCAATCCCATCGAACCCAATCAGTGGCTCCGTTTGGAGCGTATCCGTGCCACCTGTCACGACAGCGGTGCGACTGGACGATGAGTATCTGAAGCAGAAGCGGCGACACTACCATCAGCAGCATCGTTTCAAGGATTTGTTTGCCGAGCAGCGCGTCGAAACCACCACGATGGCAGCCGCTCCACCAGTCGCAGGCGAAACAGCAGCCACATTGGCAAAGGCTGCCGGCAATCAGCTGCCTGACGAGGATGGGTATGTGGACAGCGATGAAGAGCAGCAGAAGCCGCAACAGCAGACCTTCTGGCAGAGGGAAATGGCCAACAAGGCAGTCGCCCCAGTCGATCCACCTTCCTCCACACCGCCGTCTCCTGTGACTACGCCCAAGCCCGCCCTGTTCAAGTTGCCCTCCTATCCAGCCATAGCGGGCAGCTTTCTGGGAGCACCGCGAAGTCGCAGCCGAAGCGCACAGTTCGTGGCCAATGTGGCGGGTCGTGGACAGAGCAGCAGTCGTCCCCGTTACGACACCTCGAACGGAGCCAAGGGCGCTGGTGAATCGGGAGAATCGAGCGTTGCAGCGTCGCCGCTCAATTCCTTTGTGTATCATCGGGTCGTCGATGCAATCGGCGGCAACTCGGTGCTATCCAACAGCCGCAAGCAGTCCCGTCTGCCATTCGTAGCCATCACGGATCGAAGGCTCGAGACAATGGTCAGCAAGCGGCTGCTAGCGGAGCGACACAAAGACTTTGAGCAGAATCATTTTCCGATGCCCTAAGCCGCGCGAGCTCCAAGTCCGAGTGTCGAGGTGAGGCGGGAGAGCAAGAATAAGTAATGAGGGGCTGCAGAGTGGGCTGGACACGAGATTGGATAGCAGATCGTTTCGGAATCGCTTTTCTACGATTGAAATTTGAAGGATTTTAACTATTTCGAACCACCCAAAATCCCAAGGCGTGAAAACACTTCTCTGCAATGTTTCGTGCCAACTGAAATTGTTGTCAATGACTGATTTTTAGATCGGATTTGGGCCGAAATACATATTTCAGATGGGACAGACACATCACTGAGGGTTTTTTTGTGGGTCCAGGACCTCGCATCCAGCCTTATTCTCAGCCATGGGTCGTAACATATACATATATATAGAGCTATAACACATTGTAGTCGCCGCTTTTGGATGATTATTTTTGGGTTTTACGTACTATGTTGAACAAAATACTCACATATTCTTGTACATGTGTCTGTAAGAGGCGAAAGGAGAGAATCAAAAGGATTTAGAGATAATTGTCGAAGGAGTTTTTTTGTGGAAACATGAACCGTAAATGTAATGGAAAAGTAAAAGGAAATTAAACTATAAAATGACAAATTGGAAACAACAACAAAATATGCCACTAAATTTAAGCAAACAATTTTTTTTTTTTTTGTATAAAAATATCACAAAGTTCTGTAGACACACACACACACACACACACACACACATAGCAAGAGTTGCTAGAAATCAAAAAGTGATATCCACAAAATATATATATATATGTATACACAAAATAATTATATTTTTATGATTTTTAGAACAAATTGTAAGCAACTTTGTGTTGGGCCTGGAATAATTAAATTTGTTCGAGCAAACGCCCTTCCGCACGCACAACTCTCACGCCCGAACCATACAGGACGCTTCCTCCTTCCTCGTGCACGCAAACAACAAAAATCCAAATCCAAATAGGTTTCAAAATTGAGCAACAAAAAAACACAAAGCCTTACACAATGTTGTCACAGGACACGACACTTCACTGCACACAATTTAAAAACATACTCGTATATAATTATCCAGAGCAAAGATAACTCTTAGAGCTAAATGGCAATAGCAGGGCGAACGAAAGAACCACACACAGAAAACATATCCACAGGGCAATTATAGATTATGCGTATAGATTCTGCTTCATAGAGACAAATCATGGGGAAGTTTCTCAAACATTTAAGCAGTGCTGTTCCATGTTGAGGCGCTGAAAACTGTGCTTCGTTTTAGGAAATCTGTACTCGGAGTTTCAATCTTTGAAGTACGAAAATCACACCGATAGGATATCAAAATTTAAGCAAACCAAATTTTTGTTTTGGGAAATAAGTAACCAAATTCATAAGAACGCATCCTAAAGACTTATCCTAGTTACGAGCTTACGCACACAGCAGAGACAAAACTAAAGTTCAAGAAACTTCATAGGCAAAGACGAGAGCGCGGCTAAAGGAATGCCACAATTGCAGGAGAAGGTCAGAGGTCCGAGGTCCGAGGTCAGTGGGCAGTGATGGGGCTGTGTAGTTAATTAACATATCAAACGCGATGCAGGAGCAGAGTAAAAACGGAAAGCGAAAAGCTAAAAGCAACTATAAATAAGATCAACTTGCAGAACTTCACGGCACATATTCATTATAAATTTAAATGTATATGATTTCGAATGTTCTTGACTTGGGAATACGCGAGTAGTTTACTCGTTACTCGCCTCGTTACTCGTTACTCGTTACTCTCGCCTATGAAAGGATACCAGAATAGATCTTTTTCAGGCGCAGAACGTTTTTAAATGATGCATAACCCTGATTATAGGCTGATTTTACGTAAAGGATTTTGAGAACGGTTCAAGTATCAGAGCAAAAGCATATAATCAAAGCAGGGTCCAGCACCACCTCCCCACCACCCCTTCACCAACAATATACACACACAAATACATACATACATACATATATACAGACACAATATGTGGTAAAATTGTAATGGAATGAAATTAAATAAAGCAAACTTGTATTATTTACGCATAACTGAGGGTGGAGTTTTTGGAGTTTTTTTTTCACCGATTTTGTTACAGGTACATACATGGAAAGAGACTTCTCATATGTGGCATTTCTGTGTGTGTTGACGACGCGTCTCACAAAGTTTTTACTTGCCCAAATCTACATTTGGCTATTTTGGCTATTTTAAAAAATATAATAGGTTAAATAAGTTAGTTATTAGTTGGAGAACAAAATTAAGACATCAAAGCAGACGGAAGACGAAGATGATGCGGCAAGTCCCCCGGTTTTTTCTGAATTTCTTTCCCAATTCTTCCTGTTCTATGTTTTTTTGGGTGTCTCGCTGCATGGCCTCTCGGATAGTGCCAGGGGGCCGTGGGGTCGTTATTTGATTTGCATAAAATGTTTCAACATTTCGTTTCGTTTTATTTCCCCCTACGACGCGTCGCTGCACATTTGGAAAATAATTTCAATTCAATTTGCGAGCAACTTGAACAAGTCCTGCGAGACCAGTCAGCAGGGCCAGAGTGAGCCACTCACCCAATTCGAAAGAGTACACAGTCACAGATGCCCTGTGTGGCAACGTTTGTAGACAGTTTCTACTCGAAATATACTTGAACCCAAAAAAGTGTGCTGCGATGATCACAGATTGAGCATTGCTGCACAGTGTCAACGCAGTTGCAGGGTATCAGCACCTCAGGAGATGCGGCTCAAGCTGAAGCAGACACGTTATGCATACATACATGTGTGTATGCATGTATATATGCATGCGGCTGGAGCCAGACACAAAATGGAGACATTTGCCAAACGACGTCAGCATCAACTGTAGCCACAGACAGAGAGAGTGAGAGAGAGCCAGCAGCAGCAGCAGCAGCAGCAACTTATCAAAGAAATGTCGCGCTCTTCTCCCCAGCGAGGTGGTTGCTCGAGATGGCGGCGGCACACACTTGGCGCAAAGTTTCAGCGCAGTTGTCATTGCCGTCAGAGTCCGCGTGTGTCGTGCCAAATGTTGCCTGCAGTATGTCTCTCACACTCCCTCTCTCCCAATTACCGTACGTACATGCACATGTACGTTTTTGTATGTACATACATTTAACTGTGATTTTCTTATCTGCTTTTCTCCATCGTTCTTTGGGTCTGTCTCTGCATCTGCTTCAGTCTTTGCCGCCGTCGCTACCTGCCCCTCTTGCTGGCAAATGAGTTTTTAGGTGCAGAAGGCACTGCATGTAAGCGGCTCTGGCCCTTCGTCAGTTCTCTGTCCGTGGTACCATGAAAGTATTTTCAATAATTAAACATTTGCGTGCAAAAAGCCCGACCAAATTACTACCTCTGCGGACTACAGACGGGCAAAGGGGAAAAGTTTTTACTGATTCTGTTGCGTTGCTGCTCCCTCTAACTGCCTTGAGGGCCCCACTCAAAATCATAATTATAATAATTATAAAAACAATAATTAAAGCACATACATACGGGACTACAGCCAAAGCCGCTGGGGGGCTTTCCGAGAGAGCGAGTGGAGAAAATGAAAATGGGGCGACTCAAAAAAATATTTAATTGAAATTTTAATAGAGCCATAAGCCAGGCACGTATTCAGCATAACGGTAAAGCGGAGGGACGCGGCACAAAAAGGAGCTGCCATCGCATTTCGTTTGTTTTCCTTTTGTTTTCTTTTTGTGTTCTCCCTCTCCCTTTATTCTTGACGGACGGTGTGCATCTGAATTTTTGACAAATTAATTAGGTTGTTTGTTAGAGGGACTCTTCCTCCCTCTCACGGTTACTCTCTTGCCCACCTTGCTTAAGCCTCTCCCATCTTAGAAACATGTAAGTGGGCTCTTAATACAGTCTTCGCACTCGAAATAACGGTCAAACGAAAGGGAACGCTGTGAGGCGCGCTGGAACGCGTCACAAATTTTATACCCTTACTCAGTCAATAACTTGTCTTGGAAAAGGGGATTGTAAGTAGTTCCTCAGCACAACCAGCACCAAATTTTATTAATTTCGACATATTGAGTCCTTCGTCACAATTAAGACTCATTTTTAACGGCCTGGTGGTGGTCAATCACGATGGAAAATCTCAAATGTCTCTTTGGGCATGAGCTGCACAATATCCCTCGCAAGACACCAGAGCTCATAGTGGGCCACCGTAAGGATGATGGCCAGAGTTCCCAACTTAAGTAGTTTGATATGTTGTTCGCGCCACTCACGTCGAGCGAAGCCCGAGTTGTAGGCAAACCATTGACTGCAGATCGAGCAAAAAAAGCCCGAAAGCCCGAACAAACGATGCGACAAGTTTAGAGAAACATTTCGCACACCGAGCAAGGCCAACCCAGATAAAAGACAGCCTGCGGTTAGGAAAAGACCCAGTAGTCCGCAAAATCCATGCTTGGTCAGGGAGTGTGTAATGCAAATGCACGGCTTGTGTCCATACCATCGACTCTTTGGCAGTAGTCCAATGCATCCGCTATAAAACCCCAGCAGGCCCAAAGCGATGTGCATCAGATCCAGAGTGTGCAACCCAATCAAACGAACCAGCAGCCAGCTGTGTTTACTCAAGAGCGCCTCGCCGGGCGCTAGAAAAAAACCCAGGATGCAATAAAAAGCGTGCTCCGCAGTTCTGCTGAGGCCTCGCATCAGACATTTCCTGGCCACCGCGATAGTGATTGCAATAAGGAGAGCTTGAGCTGCAATCTCTATACAAATTGTGTACAACTGCCAGTCGAAGGTGCCAACCATAAAGTCCCAGGCAAACTCATCTCGCTGTTGATGGCCCAGTGTTGTATTTTCCCTTTGGGAGACATTTTCCCGTCTCTCGTTCATGTTGGATTTCTCACTTTCGTTGGGTTGAGTAATTGAATTTGAGATTTTGGGTTTGAATATTTCAAAGTTAAGGGGAAATTTTTGGAGTATGTCTCCTAGCTAGGTTTTCATTTTCCGATTCCCTTGTAGATCGACTACTTTTCATGGTGTCGAGTCAGTAGAAAATTCAAGTGGAGACCTTCCTCATGCAGAATCCGCTGTAAACTAGAAAAGGGGAACTCAAAGGATTGCCAGCATGTTGAGCTGTGCCTGCGGATCAGTTGACAGCCCTACGCAGCTGTCTTTTACCACAACTGTGAAAGAAATTTATATAAAAACGACAAGCTTTGAGTTTTATTTCGTCAGGCAAAACTATTTAAAAATCCCAAACCAAAAACTGAATAAACGAGCAGGGACGTGTGAGACGCTTCTTACGCGTCACAACTTTTATACCCGGCACTCAGTACTACTTCGGCACCTTAGCGGTGTTTTGTCAAATTTTACATTTTTTTCTTCATCTGTCATCTACATCTACAATACTTTTCACACCAACACGCTCTTTAACTCGCTCCCCTTCCCACACACTGCAGACTCGCGGCAGACGCAGTGGCCGCACACAGCAGAAGCAGAGTGTGAATGAGAGAATGTGAAAAAAGCAAATATAAGCTGCGGGACGGTGTCGTTTTAGCCACTGCAAATTAATTTCTTCATTCTGGCTATAATAATGATCCAATCGGATCCCAATTTGGTGATCTGATAGATTTGGGAGGTTTTCGCCCTTTTGGGGGGCGGAAGGGGGCGTGTCTCATTTTTGAAATTCACTTGTAACAGTGTGAGCATACAGAAGTATGGATGCAAAATTTGGTGGCTCTAGCTTTTATGGTGTCTGAGATCCAGGCGCTCAACAAGACAGACGGACAGACAGACGGACAGACAGACATGGCTCAATCGACTCGGCTATTGATGCTGATCAAGAATATATATACTTAATGGGGTCGGAAACGTTTCCTTCTGTGTGTTACATACATTCACTTTGTGCATTTACTCTTCGAGTACCGGGTATAAAAAATCAACTGGTAAGCAAAATAAGTATGCATCTACAATCGTGACTCTTCCAGGTCTCCGGCGTAGCTGCGGAGCATCATACAACTGGAGATGAACCGGAATATCCTCCAATATCCTTCCAACAAATGGAAATAAACTGATCCCCCAACTGCACCCAAATCAATTCCACAAATGTGATAATAATAATAGTAATAAAAATAAAAATAAATAATAAAGTTTGTGATTTAATTTCTTCTTCATACATACATTCATGGGTACATACATGTGTACATCTACATATGTATGTGTACATATTTAAGGAAATCCAAACTCAAAGTAGAGCTAAAAATGCACTTTATTATAGCTAATGATTTATGTTTTGTTTACATATATCCAAATATGTACACATGTGGAATATACATACATATTTATATATATATATATATATGCTTGTACATATACATATGTACATACATATGTATGTATGCATGCCGAACCGCATACGAGTCAAATGTATCACTTATTTTTAGCTGGCATTTTGGGATTGCTGTCGTGGGGCACACAAATCTGAATCGGTTGGACAGTAAAACAATGTCTTAACTTTCGAGAAGGTTTGATCGTTCAATGATCTGGCGTAAGCTTATGTGGCTGGCTGCACTTACATATGTTTCTGATTGGCGTAAAGGTGGTCTCGTTTTATTTGTATGTACGATTTTAATGTATGTATGTACTATGTAAATACTGACATCAGCTTTATGAATTCCGCTCTAAAATTTGTGTTGCATCACATGCAGGGAGTACAGTCAAACAAAGCTTAAACCTTTTTTTTTTGAATGTCAATAAAAGGGTCCATTGTTATGCATAAACAATTTCACCAAAAGCCAAAAAAAAAGTGGGTTCTGCCATATTTTGTACGATTTTCCATGTTGCATGATTTAAGCTTTCTTTAAAAAAATTATATTTTTTTGGTTGTGTTTGTTTTTATTGAACTTTAGTGATATTTTGTTTGTTGTCATTATACTTTTAAGGTATTTTAACGCTACCAAAAAATATGCTTCTCATATACATTTATATAACTACTTAGAGAACATCTTTTAACTTGAATAGTTCTTGGCAGTTATTTTTCCATACATTATTTTTATAATTTGCTTCCATTAAAAATATTTTCTCCATTCTTTCTTTCGCTTTCGCTTTCTCGTTTCCCCTTCGAATATTATACATTATTTGCGACATAAATGCGCAGTTTCCTCATATACATAAATAAATATTTATATTGGATTTTTTTGTTTATTAGTTATGCCTGGTATTTTATTTCTTTCTATTCACATCTCGCCCATTGCGTTTCGATTGAGTGGATTCACACGAAATCCAAACATCATTGCATTAAATTCCACTGGGAGCAATTTCGAATCTCACCGTTCAGACCATTTTTGTGGGATCTCCACATCGTTCTCGTTCTCGGCTTTTCGTACACGTGCGTTACGCATTTGCTGTTCAGCGTTCAGTTATAAACGAACGTTATTCAATTTTTCAGTTTATGTCTATCTCACATTTCTTTCCTGGTAAATTGCATTAAATAATTAATTTTAATTACATTTTTAAATACCAACTATGTTGAAAATGTGTGTGTGTGTGTGTGTTTGGGTGTGTGTGTCGCCTGAGTATGTCTATGCTTGTTCATGCAAGTGTAGATTCCGATTCCCGATTTTTGTTTTCTTTGCATGCCTTGTGTTCTAATGATCAATTTAATTTTATTGCTAAACATTTATCCTGTTTTTTGGCAGTGCAAGTTGTTGTGTATGCGCATGAATGTGTGTGGATGTATGAGTGTATGAGTGTGTGTCTGTCTGTATGTAGTTCAACCCGTTCAACTGATTGACTGAACATAAATCGAATGTAAGTCCATCAGCTTCTTCATTGCATTAATTGAATTATTAATGAGGGGAAAGGCAGTTAATGCGAACAAAAAGCGAGATGAAATTATGAGAATGCTCAAAAGCTTGATGTAAAAGTATGTACATACATACACACACATGTACATACATACATACATACATATACAGCTCCAAACAGGCACACTGCAGCCGGCGCAGAGATTGCCCATAGGGCCATTTAAGCGTGTTTTTATCCTTTTATGTGAAAATATGTATTTATGTATGTATGTACATATCGGCGTTAGTGTGTGTGTTCATGTGGGTGGGTTGTGTTATGTTTGCATTAGATACGACGATTTGTGCACTAATAGCATACACATGTACTTATATGTACTCTGGTACCATATAACTCTCTCGCTCAAGTGTGTATCGAATTTACTTTCTCCACTGCCGGCTGCCTTTCCCTTGACCTTGCCTTGCCTTTGCCCTTGCCCTTGACCCTACACAACTGCCTGATCATTGCCTTCGCGTTCTCTCGCTGATCTCAGCTCTTTCTCGTTACAACTGTTACTCGACCTCTGTTGAGCATCAACACAATCCATCCCTCTCGCACATTGCATTTGCATTTCACTTAAGGGAAAGGAACAGCTATTCCGCTCATGCTCGCACTCGCACTTCTTCCAACGCCTCCCACTCGTTGTCCACGCTGTGTGTTTTTGTGTGTGTGTTTCCTTTGTTGTTGCTGTTGATGCTGCTGTTTCGGCCATTTTGCTGCTTTAACCCATGCCGACGGCTGCCTGACATCCGCCAATTCGCACTGCACGTGAGTGTTCAGTCCCAGCCGTTCTCCTTGATCATGTGCGCCAGCTCGATAATGAACTTCCCCTCCTTGTACTTCTGGCTGGACTCATAGGCGTGCTCATACTTCCAGCCCAGCGGCGTCTTGCAGCACTCGCAGTAGATGTCGGCGACGGCGTGGAGTCCCGTCAGTAGGACCCGCTCCTCCGTCTGGCCACAGGCCACGTTCACCACCGAGTTGAAGAGGTAGGCCGGGCCCTGGCTGCCCTGAAACGACTTTGAGATGAGTTCGTCGTGGGAGGCGAGGTGGGCGCGGCAGTGAACACATGAGTAGGTCCGATTGGTGGACGGTAGATAGGCCTGAAACGTTTTCACCATTTTTTCTGCTGCTGAAAGAGTTCCTTCTTCAGAGGCTTCAGCACTTGGGCGTTCCAATATTCAATTTGCCTTTTGTTCTCTTTTCTCTTTGGATCTTTTGAATTTCTCGATGGCCTCTGCTAAGTACAGGATAAATTATTTATTAGTCAAAAGTACAAAAAGGAAGAGATTCCATTAAGACCTACCTTGGGCCACGACCAAAAGACCACGGACACAGTCTCTGCTCTCTCAGATGGACCTGGGACCCGCTGCTCGGGCGTTAACTGCTCTCTGCTGCAGCGGCGAAGGCAGCAGCAGAAACTGCTGCGGCTGCTGTCATTGAACGATTACAGTGGCGTTCCCGTCCCGCTGCTGATACCGAGATGATGACGACAACGACGACGATGCCTTTGTCTGGCCCTTCCAATTCCAAGTTATGTTATATCGAATTTCCCCGACAGCCAAAGCTACAAAAAAAGAACAAAGCTCAATTATTAGTGCATACGAGTATGTACAACTTTATGTACATAAGTATGTATTTATGTATGTAACTCTGTGGTAGTGGTGCATCTTTCTGCAAGCGGCGATTATTTTACCAGAGAAGGAGAGTGGGTGCAGCGAAGGCGAGGGAGACGGAAAGTTGGATATGGCCAGGGCATTTTCATTATCGATTTCCATTTACAATCTATCTTACCCACACTCAACAGCACCTATGTATAATTGGACGAACCGAAACAAAGAAATGCATACAACAACAACAGCAACAAAAAGTGCAAGAAATCTAGCTTTAGAGCGTCGAGCCTTATGTAAGTACATATGTAAATACATATGTATGTGTATGTATGTACAGTTCGAGTGCCATAAAAGTTCAAGTCCCTGACGAGTGGCTTGCTGCTGCAACTGGCGCCACTTTTAGTTGTTGTTTTTTGCTTCAGTTGCGTTAGCAGTAGCAGCTGTTCATTTGCAGAGGCTTAAAATGTCGAAGCCGGTTGGAGCAAGAGTTCCAAAACTTTGGCTACTTCGCCTGAAGCAACTAGAGCACTGCTGTATCGCTAATATACCCAGATATTATGTTCGTCTAGACTCTAGAGTTTAGGCTCTAAGAAGTAAGTCTAAGAATTAAAAGTCAAATGGACCACGAAACAAGCTTGGGCTGTTATTAAACAAACTTTCGAGTTGGGTGGCAATGTTACGCAAAAAGTTTGCGAGTGCTCCATAAAGTCGTAAGTCACAAGTCGTAAAGTGTTTTATTATTAGGCGTCGCACTCAAAAACTTAACCCACAAATGCAGAGCATGCAAATGTGCTGCTGCTGAATCTGCAGCGTCGCCGTCAGCGCCTGCGTCTGCGCTAACGACTTGAACAAAGAAACCGAAGGAGCGCCCAGGCTTTGCCCGAACAAAGAGCTGCACAGACAGACGAGCAAAGAGAGATAGAGAGAAAGAGAGGGAAAAGGGGAAATGCACCAGACAACAAAGAGATCTAAAACGCCCCCGGTGGCCCCCTGCTGGGAGGCGTGCCGGCAAAATTAATTAGCATTATTATAATTATAAGAAATCTGTCAACGACTCTTCTCTCAAAACCAAACTGTAATTAATTTATTAATACCGAAGCAGAAACAAAAAACAAAAGAAACGTAGAAGCACATACTGCACAGTTCACTGAACCAAACAAACAATCAAACAAAAATAAACAAAAGAATAAAGGCGGCTGAAGAGGCAGAGACGAACACAGAAGAGATTTATAATTTATAAGCCACACACACACACATTTTATTCTGCTGTTTTTTTCTCTTTATTTATTTATTTATTTATTGTTATTCGTGCGAGTGGACTTTAAATTATTTTCTTGCACCTTTTCAGAAGAGTACTGCTTACTCACTTTTTACTGCCGCCACCACACGTTAAGTTTTTTGCCAACGAAAAATCAGAAACCAAAACGCGCTGCCCGAAACGAGACGAATGAATGAGCGGCGACGCGACGCCGTCTCCACTGGTAGAGTATTGGCCGACGCGGCGCTGGCAGCACCAGCAGCAGCTTCAGCAGCAGGTGGCCGGAGACTTTAGCAGCGACGATAAAGGATAAATATGCAAAGTGCAACAAAAGAAACAATTTAAACGCATAATGCGTGCTCAATGAACATACAAATTACGTGCAATTTGCCGATGCAATAAAGACGACAGAACAGCGAACGTAAATAGAAGAATCTGAAGCATAAGATGAAGAAGAAAAGATACATACAATACATACATATCTATGCACTACACACATATTTATGCGCTCACAAATTGCCGCTCAAAATGCTAACATTATTTTTATTTCTTTGAAACGATTCGCGTTTCTCTCTTGGTCTCTCTGAGTGTGTGAAATCAGCAAAGTGCATTTTGTCATTTTGTGCCCTTGAAAGGAAATATTATTATTTAGACCATGCTTTGGCAATGCAGCGAGTATTTAAGTACATTATTAATTGTTACAACATACATATGTACGCATTATTATTATAATTTTTTATATATCATTTTTAATTATTATATTTTATATATTATTAATTATAATTATAGCTTACTACAGATAACTTTTAAGATATCTATGTACGTAGATCCACTCGAATATTTGACTTCTGTATGTATGTACATACGATGATGTACATATATGTATGTACATCAACCAAGTTTTAAACTATGGAAATGTCATAGAAGTGCAAGTTTTGGGTCCTCCACTGTGTGCGTGACTGGGGCAATGCCGTGTAACGGTACGTCTGCTTATGTATCGTGATCAGTTTTTGCGATTGCAATTGTGTCAGTGTCGCTTGCGGAAAGCAAGCAGGCCAGACTGGATTGGATTGCATCAAGCCCAGCGCACTCTCGCAACTGCATACAGTAGGCACACAACCTATTCGCATTATTAAAATTGCAGTGAAATTGCGAACTTCATTTGCAAATGAGCCCAGGGTCTGTGCTTGAAGCCTTTTTTAACTGTATTTTCTTTGAAGACAAAGAATAATTTCTGTACTTACTTTTAGCTAGTAAGTACTTGGTAATGGTTTAGTATAAATTTCAATCTTTATTATGAAGTAAATTATGCTCGTATTAACTTAGCTTAAGAGGTTAAAAATTATTCAACTGTTGCGCGCCTTATTATGCCGTAAACACACCGCCTGTAACGCGATGCAGATGTACATGTGTATGTATTTCTCTCCTGACAGGGACAAGAGGTGAACAAAGAAAACCAGAATACCCAAAAATAACATAGAGAGACACAGATGGAGTGAGATCACACCTATCGAAAAGGGGGGGGACGTCATATGGGGATAGAAAACCATTATTTACTGTTAATATTCCCATGCCAAGGGGGGAACACACTTTTCGGCTACATTCGATTGCATTCGTGATTTCTTATCAGATAACAGCATGAACTTATTGCGTTGCGACGATGGGCAGCGACAGCTACAGTGGCGCGCCAGCAGAAGAGAGGCAAAAAGCGTAAACAACAATGTACATATGTATGTACGTATGTATGTATGTACATTCCCGACAGCCAAACACTGTGCCATTCTGGCAGAATGGATAGAAACAAAGTCAGCTGTGTGGAACCAACGCAATACCGATTGCATGTGAGAGACAAGGACAGAAATGAGCCCTTTTCGCGACTGCTCTCTCCACACTCCTGAACTGAACACACAACAACACACTGAAGTTTTTCTCTCGAAAGGCGCACTTTGTTAAACAGTGGGGGCATACGCACACGAATATTGAAAACAGCTATCTATACACACAAACAAACATTTCTTGTTTTTGCCAATGCGCTGCCTGCAACGGGGGAGCGCGGTTAGAAAAAAGAAAGGCATAACAACTGAAATTGGCAGAAAAATTATGATAAAACAACTTACGTTATGTGTTGTTTTTGTTGTTTTCTTTTAGACACAGAGAGAATGCAACTGCGATGCACAACCAAACACACACACCACCACACACACCGAGAACAAAAAAAGAGGCAGCAAAGACGACCCACTGAAAAAGGCACTTTGTCCGTGGTAACGTACCCGTTTCTTCACTTTAATGCTGAAGCAGAAGTTTGCATTGTTTCTATTTCGCATTTGTTTGCGCTGCGCTCATATTCTGCCTTTAACAGCACCTGTTCATTAACAGCATTCGATTTGCACTTGCACCTAACAGAACAAGTTGCGTCGACTTGCTTGACTCTCGAAATGCATAAAAACAGACAATGGGCTTCTGGTTCCGTTCTGTATATGCAACTATGACATTACACAGAATTCCTGACAGCATTCGAGTATTTATTTGAAGAAATATACTTGCCTTTGTGCTGATTTTAGCTTAGGTACTTGCCGCTAACAGCACATTTTTCTAAGCGCCCAACAGCACCAGTCGGCGAACAGCGTTCGTTGTGCACTCGTGAAAACAGCCAGCCAGCCAGCCGATATCATGCAACGAAACTGTCAGCAAGCATATAATTATATTTGGAATGGAATATAATGAAATATGTGTGACATTGTCACATCGAACTTTAAAACTAGATAATCCCCAAACGCCACTTTTTCGTTACATTAGTGCTGTGAATGTTACTCAAAAAAAAACTGCCAACTTTCACGATACCTACAGCACTGTCCGGGAATCATCTGTGCTGACAGTGCTGTCATCGATTTAAAGCCTCAACAGCTTACATACATATATACGTTCCGTAAGTGCAAAGTTCCATACCTAGTTTTATGAAAAACGGTAACAACAACAAATACATACAAATAAGTTAAATTAGCTTTAACAACAGTGGTGGTATCTGCCGTTGCCTCTACACCTGGGTGGCCTTCAAGCACTCACACCTCCATAATAACTCGGTCTGTTTGCTCAACTCTTTTTTTTAGCTTTGTGGCTTCTGTTCAGTGGCTCGCAGTCCCTGCCTGACATTCGGCATAAATTGAATCAGTTTTTCTTTGTCATCATTCTGTTGCAGTATCCGAGCCCAATGCTGTGGACCGTGCACCTGGACGGAGGACCTCAGAGGGTTAACCATGCCGCAGTGGGTGTGGGCGACCTGATCTACAGCTTCGGTGGCTACTGCACTGGCTACGATTACCGCTTCAACGAGCAGATCGATGTGCACGTCCTGAACGCACACACCATGCGCTGGACCCTCGTCCCACAGCAGAACGACGACGAAGGCATTCCGCTGAAGTACCCGCTGGTGCCCTTCCAGCGTTACGGCCACACTGTGGTGGCCTACAAGGAGCGCATCTACATATGGGGCGGACGGAATGACGAGAACCTCTGCAACGTTCTCTACTGCTTCGACCCGAAGACGGCAAAGTGGACGCGGCCCGTGGTCACTGGCTGCCTGCCCGGGGCCCGAGACGGCCACTCGGCCTGCGTCATCGGCAACTCCATGTACATATTCGGAGGGTTCGTTGATGAGATAAACGAGTTCAGCAGCGACGTTCACACCCTCAATCTGGACACCATGGAGTGGACCTATGTACAGACATTCGGGGTGCCACCCAGCTACCGGGACTTCCATGCCGCTGTCGCCTACGAGGAGGAGCGCATGTACATTTTCGGAGGACGCGGCGACAAGCACAGCCCCTACCACAGTCAGGAGGAGACCTATTGCCATGAGATTGTCTTTCTGGACATGAAGACGAAGGTGTGGCACCGTCCATTCACGGCCGGAAAAGTGCCCGTCGGCCGGCGCAGCCACAGCATGTTCGTTTATAACAAACTCATTTACGTCTTTGGCGGCTACAATGGTCTGCTGGACCAGCACTTTAACGATCTGTACACGTTCGATCCGCGAAGCAAACTCTGGAATCTGATACGGGCCAATGGTAAGGCGCCGACAGCCCGACGACGCCAATGCGCCATTGTGATAGGCACGCAAATGTTCCTCTTTGGCGGCACCAGTCCACGGATCTCCACAAGTACAACCGCAGTGCAGCAGCAGCAGCAGCAGCACCAACAGCAGCAGCAGCAGGGAGAGGCTCCAGGGCCAGCGGCAGCTGCGTTTCATGGCCATGCTGAGGGACAGGATGGCGGGCCAATGCCTGTGTTGCCTCTCATAGATTACAGCGACCTGCATGTGCTGGATTTTGAGCCCACACTGAAGACCCTGGCCACCATGGTGGTGCTGAAGTACCAGCTGGACATCTCCGGACTGCCGCGAAGCTTTTGCGTCGACCTGCAGATGCTCACACAGCCGAACAGTATTAGCCGCCCCATAAACCAGGCCGGGTAGCATCAGGCAATCACCCTGGGACCGAATGCAAGCCAAATGCAAACAAAAGGACACATTGAAATTAGTCTTAGCTCGCACGACGACTGCGCTGCTGTCCGGGAAGCGGGTCCAAGTCCCATAACTCCCCACAACTCCCCACAACTAGTCCGCTTTCTATAGCCAAACGCGCACACACACACAGAGACCGAGCAGTTCATGAGTTTCAGAAACTTTCTTTGGCAATTCCTCTTAGATATCTGAATCTAAACTCAAGCAAAATTATGATACTGGTTACTGATAACACGGAGAGATTTAGTTTGTAAAACATTTATAGAAAGGCCTCAATAAAGCTCATTTAGCTGTATTAATTTGTTCCGAAATATTCCAGCTACAGCGAGGACGTTCAACTGACTTACTACTAATCTAATTCTTGTAAAGTAAACATTAAATAGCAACTAAAACTAAGGCCAGCCGAGCAACTATCCTACGGCGCTGGTGTAGCCGCGCACCGACAGGTAACGGTTGATGATGTCCGAGGGCATGTGCTGCATTGAGGCGTATTCTTCGGCATTGGCAAAGCGCAGCTTTGTGTGCGGATCCATGTAGGGTGCGGGCAGGCCACTAATGTCCGAGTACTTCTTGGCCGGCACCAGTGAGGGCGGTGCATTAAGCGTGAAGTCTAAATAATAGCACGAAGAGCACTTGACAAGGTGAATTGAGCGTCGTTGGAAATGCATTATGGCTACTTACATGTCGGCCTGTCCACAGGTAGCTTCTGGTTTCGTTCCATGTTGCTTATCTGTCGCATTGGGCGGTAGACACAGTTCTTGGCAAAGATAAATGGCTTCTTAAACGAACGTTTAGTTTTTTGACTTGTTTTCGCGTCCATGTTTGTTGTTGTTACTGTCAGTGCGACCAACGAATTACCGATGAAATATACCGGCTGACCCTCAGAATTATACCAAACTATACCGCATCCTAAATGGTTTTTCTCGATCTACCAGCTAGTTAGTTATAACTTCTGCCCCAAAACTATAGTTTAATCCGATTGATTAATACTAAACAAGACTGACTAGTTCCTAGTCACCGTCTTTTTTCCTTGCATTGCTGGTATTTTCGAGCCAGCTCAGCACTGCCAGAATGTAACGGTCTGGCAGCCCTGCGCGCAACGAAAAAATACAATGCGCTGTCAAAATAATATTAACTGGTGTGCAAAGAGAACCACGTAGAATTTCATAACTCGCATCTAATCGGTTCAGAACCAAAAGCTAAAATGGCCCGGAATGCTGGCGCTGCCAGGTCGAGCTCAGCCAACTCGGGCCAATCGGCAGTATCAGCGGCGGCAGCGGCGGCAGTAGCAGCAGCGGCGGCAGCCGCCAACTCCAAGCAGAAGCGCAGCACCAGATTCAATTTGTCCTCAAAGGTGATGATGGACAAGTGGAAGACGTTAATCGGATGCATTTGCCTGGGCATCGCCTCGTACTTTGGCTACGTGGGCTACCTGGAGACGAGGGTGAACACGCCGTTCGACAACCAGAAAATGGTCGTGCACACGGGTCTGGACGATCCGGACCGATACTGGGGCTCGTATCGTCCGCTCACCTACTTCGGCATGAAGACACGCGATCCGCACTCCCTGGTCATGGGCCTGATGTGGTACACGCCCAGCAGTCTGGGCCAAGGTGGCCAAGGCATTCGCCACTGGTGCGAGCAGGGCGACAATCTGGACGGCTACGGGTGGACGCATCACGATGGCCGCAGCTTCGGCGTGCAGGAGATCCAGGATCTGCCCTTCGAGCTGAAGACCTCCTTTGTGAAGTACCCGGCCGGGAAGCAGTACGGCGGCGACTGGACCGCTCGCATCTCGGTGCGCAACACAACGCGGGCCTGGGACAAGAGCATCTCGCTGATTTGGTACGTGGCGCTGGATGAGCGCACCAATGGGCACATCAAGTACGTGTCGGATGAGAAGAGCCCCGAGCCGGGTGTCTATGGCGAGACGCAGGGCCTGGGCGAGTTCCAGGTGCGCTTCCATGCGGTAAAAGGAAAAATTCTACACAAATCGTACCTGAGCACGGTGGCCCCATCGCTGAGCAAGCTCAAGGACACGCTCTTCGCGCACTTCCGTGCGTTCTCGGACAAGCGCGGCAATCGCTTCATTGGCCTGCCCGGCGAGATTGTCTCCCAGAACGGTCTGCCCTCCTCCAATCCCGAGCCCAACTTCATAGCCATTCAAATCACAGCCGAAGTGGACTTCACCCTCGACATTACCTACCAGTCCACATCGGGCTTCACGCTCAGCGAGTCCATACCGAAGCCACCCACAGGGCGGGCCTACACAGAGTCGCTGCAGGCGAAGATCTCCGACTTCGAGAAGCGTTTCGAGGAGAAGTTTCAGCTGAAGAGTCGCGGCTACTCGCCCGAGGAGGTGCGCTTTGCACGCAACGCTCTGAGCAATATGCTCGGCGGCATTGGCTACTTCTACGGCTCGAGTCGGGTGCAGTCGGTGCACACCAAGAACCCTGTGCCCTACTGGAAGGCGCCGCTATACACGGCGGTGCCCTCACGCAGCTTCTTTCCGCGCGGCTTCCTGTGGGACGAAGGCTTCCATGGACTGCTGATCAGCTCGTGGGATGTCGAAATCGAGCTGGACATTATCTGCCATTGGTTCGATCTGCTCAATGTCGAGGGCTGGATACCACGTGAGCAAATCCTCGGCACTGAGGCCATGTCCAAGGTGCCCGAGGAGTTTGTCACCCAACGAAACAGCAATGCCAATCCGCCGACGTTCTTCCTCACGCTAAGGAAGCTGCTCACCAGCCACAGGCAAGAGCTCTCCGAGAATGGTCGCCTGGCCACCCTGGAGCGGCTGTATCCGCGTGTCCAGGCGTGGTTCAACTGGTACAACACCACACAGAAAGGTTCGCTCTGGCCGCTTCCGCCTCCCTCTGGTATCTCTTTCCCTTTCTAATTTGTGTTCCGTTTCGCAGGCGACGTGATGGGCTCGTATTTGTGGCGTGGCCGCAATGCCACCACGCAGCGAGAGCTGAATCCTAAAAGCCTGTCCTCTGGCCTGGACGATTATCCGCGCGCATCGCATCCCAGCGATCGGGAGCGGCACTTGGATCTGCGCTGCTGGGTGGCGCTGGCCGCCAGCGTTATGGCCGAGCTGTCAACGCTGCTGGGCAAGGATGATGTCAAGTACTATGAGACGGCCTCCTATTTGACAGACAACGAGCAGCTGAATCGCCTGCATCTGGCGCCCTACAGCGAACAGTACGCCGACTGGGGCCTGCACACCGATCAGGTCATGCTGAGGCGACCGCCGGCCATGGCGCCTCAGCGTGGCAGCCACCCGTCGCAGCAGCCCGAGATGATGCGCGTTGCCATGGAGCAGCCAACGTACCAGTTTGTGGACAACACGTTTGGCTATGTGAACCTGTTCCCGCTGCTGCTCGAGCAGCTCGACCACGACTCGCCGTATCTGACCAAAATGCTGCAAGACCTGCGGGATCCCCAGCAGCTTTGGACCAACTTCGGGCTGCGCTCGCTGTCAAAGCGCTCGCCGCTGTACATGAAGCGCAACACGGAGCACGATCCGCCGTACTGGCGCGGCCCCATCTGGATCAACATCAACTTTCTGGCTGTGCGGGCGCTCCAGCACTACGGCAAGATCGAGGGTCCCAATGCGGCGCTGGCGCTCGAAATCTACGCAGAGCTGCGTGAGAATCTTGTGCGGAATATCTTCAGGCAATACCAGAGGAGCGGCTACCTCTGGGAGCAGTACGATGACACCACGGGCGAGGGCAAGGGCTGCAGTCCGTTCACCGGCTGGACGGCCACCGTTGTGCTCCTCATGGCGGAGCAGTACTAAAATGCAGTTGCTGCGAGTTCCTCCACCCAACTGGGTGTCTCCCCCTGCCTGCCTGCCTGCCTGCCTGCCTGCCTGTTGTTTTATGATTATGTAGCGCTACACATCCTTTATAATGTGGTGTGTGTGTGTGTGTCGCGTCAATTCCTGTCTCTGGTTTGCTGTACAAAAACTAAATAAATCTGGCAAAGTTCGCCCCATGAAAGGTTGATCAAGCAGGAGACATTTTAGCGTTAAATAGATGAATTTTAATTAATAATAAACAATTATAATAGATTGCATGTGTTTTCACTCGAATTTGGAGCGGGTTCTCAGAGTAAAGAAAGGAAAGCACAACAATTCTTTGCTGATACTAAACCCAAAGGTCTTCCCTTTATCCACGCATTTGCTGGCATGATTCCTAGATCCGAACTCAACCCAGTGAAATGATTTCATTTTTGATTATTTTCGCATTTTATTTCCACATTTGCAGTCAGTGGGGGAAATCCGTGTTCCGCATTCATTTACTTAAACTTAGTTACTACTACTATGTACCTGCTATATTATACAATAAATTGTTCTTAGCTATTTATCTACATATATTACACAGAAAAGGCAAACAAAAACGCGTTGGAGAAGTTTCCACACAAAAAAGAAGGTTCAGAATGTGGCTAAAAACAAACTTAACACAAGACTAATTGGATAGTTACTAAGAAGATAGAAAATGACATCAAAATGCAAAATAAACTAATTGTAAGTCGAATAATTGTTCTGTGCTCGGAATGAAGGGAAGTGTGGGGAGGGGGAGGGGAGGGTATTGGTGGTGTTAATGAACATTTTTAAGAACTAAATATGTGCGTGACATCGCTGGCTTAGATTTAAAATTGCACCAAACAAAGGAGGAGGAATAAAACTGATCAAAAAAGACAACAATTAAAGTCGAAGGGGAACGTGGAGTCAGTCACCAAGTGTTAGTCACTTAATAAGCCGTAGTAAAAGTAGTTTAAATGTTTAGTTATACGTTGTCTAAGCCTACTTATGTTCATGAAGTACATGGAAGAAAGTCTTTAATGGCCAATGCACCAACATCAATCTCTGTTAATCTCTCAGCGAAATTGATCAGCGAGCAGGAACAGGAGTATCAGCTCTTGGAGCCGGTTCTGCGCCTATTCCGCCTTCTTTTTGATAACTGAGGATGCGCGCCTGAAGGCCGGTAGCCGATCCAAAAGTGCCAACAGAATACTGCCCGGCAGTCGTTGATGTTTGTTGATCAACTCCTCAATAGCTGTGGCAACCTGGCAGGGTAAATATAATCAGCAAGCACCAGGGTCAAGTGTAGCCTCCACTCACCTTGTTCTGTAGATCCTGCGGCGTGAGGTTCTCATCGTATTCTATTGGCTTGCCCAAATACGTGCGAAACTTTACCGGAAAGCCGCCGTAGATGGGATAAACTGGAATGCGAACCTTGTTGTACAAGCGCATAAAGAAGTTCCGAAAGATGCCCACCTGCCGGAAGCCCTCGCGCAGATTTTGCGTGAAGCAGGGTATTATGGGGGCCTTGGCCTCCAGGGCAACCTTGGCGAAGCCCACACGATTGCGCCACAGCAGCTCGTAGTAATGGTCCCCGAACTGTGCCTCGTAGACGCCGCCCGGCGAGATGGCCAACAGGTTGCCGTCGCGCAGAATGCTCACGCAGGACTGCACGGTGCCGGGACTGACGTGGAAGGCCTCCGAGATGGTGCCCCAGCCGGGCAGCTTGAACAGGAACCTATCCCCGATCGTGTAGATCAAGCGCTCGCGCTGCAGCAGCATCCTCGAGTTCAGATAGTACATGTCGATGGGTATCGCTCCATGGTAGTAGACAATCAACGCCGGACCCTCCTGGGGCACATTCTCCAGACCGATCACCTCGTAGCCATGATAGATTCTCGCATGGGCATCCCAAATGGCGGCCACTATTTTCCGGCCCACGCGCCAGAAATTGCGATCCGTTTGCACAGCTCGCATGATCACCTGCCTGATGGAGGGAGGGAGCGGAGCGGAGGGAAATTGTTAGTTAAAGTTAAAGCCATTGGGTGAGATTCGGTAGCCAGGTGGGCAGACTCCACTTGGGGTGGGATCAGCGGGTCGCTTCGCTCTCAAATTAATTGCCAAAAATTGATAAGTTTATTTAAATTTAGTTTCTCAGTTTCGGTGTCAGCAGGTGTTATCAGCATCAGGCAGATGCCTCCTATCCTCAGTGGACGGAACAACTTATAAATCAATTTTGTTGGCCGTTGCAGAACTGCGTTTGGTGTGGGGATGGCAGGGTACAGGGGACAGGGGCCTAGCTCTGCCACTGATAACAGTTTTAGCAAAAAAAAAATAAAAATAATAAAGCTTTTGGCCACTCGGTAAGCAAACAATCACCGACACACACAAGCAACCGAATTCAGCAGCATAATTCGAATTCGAATTCGAAGTAAATCGATTTGATCAGCGAATTTTCCGTGGTTCAGAGATCTCAAGGGAAAAAGCAGTAATAAATATGTACATACATAAATATGTACATCGTGTGCAAATGTATGTAAATAGATGTATCCATACATATATACATTATACCTTAGTCCCCTTACTCCACGACTTCCACCTTGTCTGGTGATTACAAGTACAAGTAACGGTAGGTGTATTTGAGGGCGAGGGGGGGTGAATGGCGACGTTGCCAACCATGACCATGAACTGATAGTCCATAGCTGCAGACTGTTATCGAAACACAAAAGCCGCAGAGAAGCCAACAACAGGGTCATGCGAAATGCGTTTTGCTTTTTGGCATGTGTGTGTGTGTGTGTGGGAGGAAATCTTCTGCAAATGCAAGCCATAACTGTACTGTCATGCTTGTGTGTGTGTGTGTATGAGAATTGAATCCATCAATGGAATCGTTAATCGTTAGATTCTAATTCCAAACATCCGATATGGGATAAAACGTTTAGTCTATCTGCTATGGAGAGCTTTTCAACTAAATAACATTGAGAACGAAACCGGTTCTGCAGTGAAAGAGTAGAAATTAGAATTTCAAAATAAATAGAAGCACACAAGAACGTGCACACGTAGACACACACAAACACACACAGAAAAAGAGAGAAGTAAAAGTCGATGTTGATCACTTGATAAACATTCGCAGTCGTCGCCGCTGTATCTAATAACGTCGACGTATCCAATACCAGGAGCGGACTTGTAAACCCAAAGGGCAAACGGTATGGTAATTATGGGTGAAGTGAATCCAAGAGAGTTTTTCGCTCAGTCCATACGTTGCGTGTGTGTTGTTCTCCGCCTCTGCCGCTTGGTGTTCCGTTTTAATTACAGTGGAAAAACGAGAGACAAGACGCATAATGCATAGGTCTGCAGGGCTTTCAAACCGAAGGGAACGAAACGGAACGGGGCTACCAAAAAGTGCTCCATCAGCATGAGAGTTCATTTACACCTGAAGAAGAGTGGCCTACGGGTGCGAGTGCAATTGTTGATGTTGCCATTTGCTGTACATATTACTGTTGTTCTCCGAATGTTTATGTGGTGTAAGAATTGCGTACCTGTGCAGCTTGTAGATGAATAGCACCAAGAATGATATGTATATGAGGGCCACGAAGACCAGGGGCAGCAGGAATGTGACTATCAGCGGCGTTAGAAAACGATAGAGCCACATCGAGTAGTCCAGGTCGATGTAGGAGGCTAAAAGGTGCATCGGAAGAGAATTTGTGATTAGCTGGTGGGCTCATGTGCTCTGGTTCAGGAGTAGTTCGGTTGAGGTGAAACACAAAAAAATATCCGACTTCTACTCACACAACAGACTTTGAAGACTCTTGGCAATATTCTCCAGGAACTCCATATTTGCTGTACACTTTGCTAGACTCTGATTAAATTAAACGTATGCAGTGCCGATGCTCGGTGAATTGTATGTGGGATGGGATGGCCTCTTCTGGCGAGGTTTCATTTGTTGTTATCGGGAAGCCAATGGCATGGCCGAAGGTTTCAAAGCCAAATACATATGCATATACGTATTTTATGTATTTAAATAACGTCTTGGCCTAATTTTCACCTGAAGCTTTACTTTCTTTCTCTCGGTTGCGCTCCTCCGCTTTGGTTGATTTCTGCTCATTTAAATCGGATTCGGAACTCTCGTTTCGTTTTGCCCTCTTCGGGTTCTGCCTGACGGTTCGTTCGGTGGTTTGTTTCTGGATGGAATCCCATTTGGCGGCACACTCTCATTAGCATTAACATTTGAGCCGGTCTACGTACATTCTATGCACTCGAAATTGTCTCATTTCTCGATTTTGTGTTTGCGTTGCAGCAGCAGCTATCCTCTAGCGGTGTGGTTGTGGTGTTAACAAAACGTATTTGTTTAATTGCCGTTCGCAGCCAGCTGTTGAGGCGGTCGCCAGTGTGACCGCGGAGTTATCGATAAGATATACCGACAGACGCTCGAAAATATGCCCTTGCATTTTCAAAATATACTGTATATCGTAACTCTCAAATAGTTTTCCTCGATTTGTATGTTCTACTTGATATTACTAGTTAGTTAGGAGTCTCCGCACTGAACTTATAATTTTATATTCTCTACAATTAAGCTATACATTAAAGGAGGAACGTTGTGAGTCGCCTTCAGGCTAGACTGATATTGCAGTAGAGTGGAATGTTTCCCTGTAGACTAGTTTGGTCTTGAAGTGTAGTAACCTATCGATGTAATCGTCCAGCCTGACAGTTGGGGCCTATCACATATAGCATTTGAGGCTGCTAAAATCAAGAATCAACTTTAAATTATATTATAATTTACATATTAAATAACATCAATTTTTGTAGGTTTTCGGCCCACGAAGCAGCGAAAAATGTAAATCTCTGGTCGTACGCGCTACATAGTATATGTGAACTGATATTATTAAGTGTATTATTTTTCGTTGACGACGAACAAACAACGGATAAGGTTGTGGGCTGTATCAGCGATAATATGTTGATAAAAATTAAGCGTTAAGCGCCCAAACACAAAGCAACAAAGAGACTGACCTAAAATTGACACCGCCAGCGCCACAGTTTGCCACTGCCACTTGGGGACAACGGACACGGTTCCCTCTTCCTCCCTCTTCCATCTACGTCCCATCTCTCCATCAGCATCCTGTGCCAGCCGCATCATGTGCGTGATCTTCTTTTACACCAATTCAAATCCTCAGACCGGTGGCTACAGGCTCATTCTGGCCTCCAATCGTGATGAGTTCTTTGCACGTAAAACAGTGGCGGCCACCGAATGGCCCAATGCGGATCATGTCGTTGGTGGTAAGTGCGGTGCGATAATGCATTTGCTTTAATTTTTTAATCTGAAACTCCTTTTGCAGGCATTGATCTTGAGCCGGGTCGCGAGGGCGGCACCTGGCTGGCCATTGGAAGCGACAGCGCCAGCGCCAGTGCTAGCGGAGTGTTCAAAGTTGGGGCGTTGCTCAATCTCACAGGCGAGCCTAAGCCCCGCGATGCAGTTGGTAATCAAAAACACACACACACACACACACCACACACACACACACACGCATTGTTTCATTTTGCTTTCGCCGAACTTTCACCTAACTTTTGCCTCAAACCTTTTTCTGTTTCCCATTTGAAGCGCACAAGAACATTTTGCAACCAAATAACCAAAACAACAACCACAACAGCAGCAGCTGCCACAGCTGCCCCACCAAGAGGCATGAAAATAACGAACATTTCTTACTAGGGCGCGGCACCATTGTGGCGGACTTTGTGTCCCAGTTCGATGAGCCAACGAACAGCCTGAACTTCAACCAGAGCCTGCTCCAGGACTGCACCAAGTACAGCGCCTTCAATTTTGTCTCCATTGAGATTGGGTGAGTGCACGTGAACGCATCCTCCATTCCCCCCCCCCTCTAGTCACATTTGCCGCCCATTGTAGGCCCCGATCCGTGCCAGCCCAGATCCGACTGCTGAGCAATGTGCCGCCCACGCTGAACGAGTTTGAGGAGGGCAAATGCTATGGCTTCGGCAACAGTCTGCCCGGCACACCCTTCGAGAAGGTGCGCTTTGGCCAGCAGCAGTTTGCCCACATTGTGGAGCAGCATGGCGCGGACAGCGCGGAGACACTGAGCGCCCAGTTGCTGCAGCTGCTCAAGAACAAGACGAAATTCTGGCCAGATGCGGAGCTGCAGCGTCGGGCACCCAACTGGGGTGAGGAATTGAGTGCGCTCAATGTGCACATTGTCGATCGTGGCTATGGCAGTCGCACGCACTCAATCATCCTCGTGGACGCCAACAATCAAATGCATTTCTTCGAGGAAAACTTTGAGCCCGAAATGAATCCGCAAGAGCTGTGGAATCCAGTTACAGTGGTCCACAAGCATTTAGGGGGGAAACTAGTCTAATAATTGATAATAATAATAAACCATTTTGTGTCTGGAAATGACTACGGCTACTCGGTATATAAAGATACGGCAACTAAATACGTTTATTTAGTTATATATTTTTGTTGTTTTTTAGTAAATTAACAAGCGAGAAAATCTGCCCCATCCCGTGGCTTTTATCTGTATAGCTTTACGACCCAAGTGCCAGTGATTATCCCTCTATTTCTTGCCAACTCTGCCAGTGCCAACCTCGGCACCAGCGCCACGCAAAACATTCTTAAAATTGCGCGAGTTCATTGAACGTTTCCTATACGAAAGAGACAAAAAGAGAGTGAGAGTGAGAGCGAGAAGGAGTTACGGATCAGCGTTGAACCTACCTTTTGTTCAGCGTATTCCTGGTCAGTGGTATGTAGGCATACGGATCCAGCTGTCCGCGCTTCTTCATGTCCCCTTTGGCCTTTTTGCTGCTGTACTCACTGCCCGCTGGCCTCGCAGATTTCCCTGAACGCACGGACATGGCATCTGTTGCTGGTGGAGCAGCGCCTGCACCCAACTGCCGATGAATACCCTTGCCACCGGCCGTGTATCTCGTGCTGGTGCTGGTCTTGCCGGAACGCGTGCTTTGGGCATCGCTGTGCTTGCGCTTGCGCTTGCCACTGGCCAGTTGCTGCTGCTGCTGCAGCTGCTCCTCGTCGCTGGAGTCCTCCTCCATGCCGCGCTTGGCCTTGCCCTTGCCACTGGCAGCTGCCTCAGCGTCACTGTCCGCCGAGAAGTCCGAATCCGAGTCGGAATCTTCATCGCCAGCCTTTCCACGCAGTGCCTTGTCACTGATAATGAGACGTCCGTCATCGGCAGTCTTGAAGCCGCCATTGGCCAGCTGTGGCTTGGCCTTTACGCTCTTGCTCGGGCCAACTGTGGCAGCGGATCCACTTGCTACAAACGAAAGGGGAATGACGATTAGTACTGCATCGCGCTGCTTTCGTTCAATTAATATTTACTCAGCACATTGCCAATGGACTTGAGATCGGCCAGATCGACTATCTCGTCGGGATCCTCGCGTATGTAGGTGCTGCGCTGCTGCTTGGCCTTGCTTCGTCGCTTGCCAGCGCCAGCTGTGGCTCCCTCATCCTCGGCATCCATTTCCTCCGGCAGATCCGAGTCCGAATCAGCCAAAATGTCATCAATGCTGTGAGCAACAGAAAGAAGATCAATGAAAGTCAGACAAAATCCGACGAAATTCGCTTACGTTTGGCTCTTCTGCTCCAAGCCACCGACGAGCTCATCGTCGGAGCTGTCCGCTTGTGCGGCCGCCTCGTCGCTCTGTTTTTTGCGCGTGTCGCGTCGCATTTGCTTGCGAATCTTCTTGAGGCGACGATGTGTGATTTCATCATCGCCGGGCACATAGCTGGCCAGCTCCTCGGTGGTGAAGCGTTTGCACAGCTTCTTGAGGAAGTAACCGATCTGAATGCGGCAATACCGTTTCGTGTCCTTTGTCATGGCCGACAGGGAGCGCATCTGCAAAAAGTTAGAAGGCCAATCAGTGAGTGTGCAAGCCAGAACGTTGTGGCACCTACAATCGTCTCCAGGTGGTTGGCCACCAGCGGTATGGGCATCACTTTGATGAATGTAATGAGGAAGGCGACAGCAGCCTCCGATTGATGGCGCGACTTTTGCACGAGGAACACGGACACTTGCTGCAAAATGAACTCGAGTGTGGCCACCGTCAGATGCTGGCCCTGCTGCTGCACCACGGCCCTGAAGGCGAGAATTGTGTTCGTAATCAGCGACTCGTCGCCGGCAAACCCGGCCGTAAGTATGTCCATAAAGTCATTGATTTTCTCCGCCTCCTGATACAGTTGGGCAATGAATTTGATGAGCTGCTCGGCCACCTGCTCCTTGCGCGTGGAGAACTCCTTATAGTTGAGCACAGCCTCCGGTATGGCCTTCATGACCAGCTGATCATTGTGCGTAAGATTGCTGCGGCACTCAAGCAGCGACTTCAGGCAGCTAATTGGAAGATGTTTACAAATGAATGAACGTTTTCTAGTGGCTCTGGCTGATGCTTACTACAAACGCGAGGCCTGGCACACGCTGCAGCTGGTGGCGAATGCCTCGAGCAGCAGCTGCTGCAGGGCATTGCAATTCTTGCGCGTAAACTTCTGGCACGACGGCAGCTCTGAGGTCATCAGCTCACGCAGCAGCCTAAAACGAAACGCGCATTAGGGACCAACATTTGTGTGCATAAAATCGTAGAACTTACTCGTAGGTCTTTCGCTGTTGCTTCTTCAGTTTCTGCTCGTCGCGGGAGACCAGCTTGGACTTGTCGTTGCGCAGCACTGGGGCCATGTACTTCTCGAAGTAAGCCTCAATCCCGCGACACTTTTGCACCCGCACAATTGCCGCATTGATGTCAAACATCGCGTCATACTCGAAGCTGGCCACGGCACTGCTGGCCAGCTGGCTCTGTGCGCTCTCGAAGAGTTCCGCCTGTATGTCGGCCGGAGCACGGCCAATGTACAGCCGAATCACCTCCAGGGCCCGCTTGCGCTGATCCGCCTCATACGAGCCATTGGGCTTTTGGCAGTAAATGTTGAAGAGGCGCGGCAGAAAGTTCTTTGCGTACTGCCCGATGGCCGTTAGGCAGCTCTCGCTCTGGCCATCGCCGAGCAGCTCGAGCAAACCATCGTAGATGGGCGCTCGGAACTCGGGATTCTTCTGCAGCACTGAGCCAATGGTGGGTGCCAGCTGGCGCAGGTACTCTGGGTCGCGCGGTTGCCGGCAGAAGCCCGGAAAGAGGCCCCACAGCTGGCAGCACAGCAGCTCGTATATGTGCGACGATGAGGTGTTCTGCGCCGCGGCAAACTCCTTCCACTTGTCCTGGCAGTTCGTGGCCAGGGGCACAATGTGCTCCTTGAAGAACTGCAGACTCGCACCCTTCGCACCCTCACGCAGCAGGGGCAGCAGCCAGGAGCGCTCCAGCTGCATGCCGCCCTTGCCATCGGCCAGGGGAATGGCTGTCAGCACCAGTTCGGGTCCCAATGCCCTGATGCCGCTGATCATCGTGTGTTCAATCTGCAGCCTCATGCTGCTCTGACTGTCGTACCGCTTGCCGATTGTCAGCAGCGAGGGTGTCAGCTCGGCGCTGAAAACAGAAGAGAAATGATCAAATTTAGCGATAAATCTCATGGGGAATGCTGCGTTGACTCACGCAAAGTGCTTGCCGCATGCCTCGAACACAATGGAGAAGATGAGGATGACATATTTGGATATCTCGCCAAATGGTGCGCTGAGCACTTTGTGCAGCGCCCCAATGATGCGGGAGACGCTCTGTCGATGGCGCTGTGCGTCTTCGGGCGTGGCGCAAGCGGGCGTCACGCAGTCCTGCAGCAGCTCCTTGATGCAGTTGGAGACACCAACGACAAGCTCGCTGCGATCCGAGAGCCACAGGTCGGTGGTGCACACCTCGAAGAGGCGGGGCAGGGCCTGCATGCAGAGGTCCGGCCGCAGCGTGGCCAAGTGCAGGTGTCCCTCCTTGAGCACTGTGATCCAGGTGAGCGTTTGTCGCACATCCGAGCGATCCGGCCGATACTCGTGTATGGCGGCCAGCAACTTGCCACAGAGCGTGGCCTTCAGGTTGGCGCTGCGCGTGAGGAAGAGCGCATGCAGCGCCTGGAAGCAGCTGGAGCGGACCATAATGTTCGCTGCCGTCATTATCGACAGCAGATTCTCGCACACGGAGCGTATCTCCTCTGTGCGGAACCCTGACAAGGTGTCCTTGAGCAGGGCCAGTGTGTGGAGCACTGTCGTCTGGGCATTGGCCAGCACCTCGGGCTTGAATTGGGCCAAACAGAATTTGGCCACACGAACGCTTGCCGGATGGTGATTCACTTTGGGTTGCTGCGGCTGCTCCTCCGACTCTCCTTCGGCGGGCGGCGCAGGAGGCAGAATGAAGCAGCTGCCGTGGATGATGGACACAATGGCGTGCTGTGCTGCTTTGCGTATTTTCGGCTTTGAGTGAATGGTGAACGCGAGTAGAGCATCAAAGTATTGTGTGGTGGAGCTGTAGGTCCATGTGGCATAGTCCTGCGCACGCAGCAGCACTGACATGCAGCCAATGAGCTGCAAGATGGCAATTTGTGGTCATGGTTAAGGCAGGATCTGGCAGGAGAAGCACGAGTCCACTTACATAACGAATGACCGACTGGTTGGTGGAGTCCATGAAGCGTTTCAACAGGCTCTGGGCTGTGGCAGCCGTTTGGCTGAAACGTTTCCTCAGCACCGGAGCCGGCACAGACTTGATGCCCATGGAGAGCAGCGCGATGCCTGCAATGGTGTCGCGCTCTTCGGTCGAAGCTTCGATTTGCTCCATGAGCAGCAGAAAGTACTCGGTGGAGGACTCGCTGCCGCCATTCTCGCGTATAATATCAGTGAGGGCGCTCAGTATGGCCAGCATTTCCTTGTGCAGATCGGACGAGGCCCGGAAACCGGTGAGCAGCTTCTTGAAGCTCACATTGCTGCAGCTGCTGTAGTTGGATGCGAAAGTTTTGAACGTCCTAAACGTCGCTGTGGGCTGTGTGCCCGTGGCGGACATTCCGTCGTCATCGTTCAGGGTGAAGCTCATTAAGCTGCCTGCCACATCGTTGACTGTTGTTGTCTCCGCATTGTAGGCCTGACGCTGTTCGTGCTTGTGCACTGCCTCCAATGTGAGGGCATTGGGGGCGGACACAGCCGCAGCTGCAGCTGTTGAGGAATCAGGGTTAGGGATAGACAGGACAACAACAACAGCAACCGGTTGCACTTACCCAAACTCAAATTTGGCTGAAAGAAGCGCGACTTTGCTTTGAGGCGATGCTTCATCTGGTCCGGGTTGGATTTGGCCGACTCTCCTTTGCGCCATGTCTTGCCCTTGCCATGGCGTTTCAATTTCGAACGAAATTTACCCATGGTTATCAGAAATCTTCAAAATAAAGGCCGCAAAGTTAACTCACGAACCCAACCAAACACGTGCAATGCAATCGGTATGAACGCGAACTTATCGATCAAAGAATCCGTCTCACCATATTAAATATACCATCGCTCTCTCAAAATATACTGAAAATAAAACGTGGAAAACCAAAGTCCACGATTTTGATATTCTCTTTAGTGTTACTAGCAAGCTAAGACTCTAAGCACTGAGACTATAATTTTGTCCAGTTGATACATTAATTATCTAAAATTCTGGCTTGTTTTAATGATTTCCTTTTACTACATTTCTAATAAAGTAAGGTTGAAACTGAAGGAGTCATCAAAAAAAATTAAACCTAAAACGCGTTTTGTCCACCGCATTAGTGGTATTTTCGTGCTTGCTAGACACTGTTCTAATGCAACGGTCTGGCAGCCTTGCGCAACCAGTTGAATGCAAAAGAAATAGAAGAAGTGCGCAAAATAGATTGTATTGTTTTTTTATGTGTATATGTGACATTGTTAAAGCATTCCCAAGAAAATCGGCAAATAAGAGTGAAATTGTATGTTTATTGTGCAGAGTGCAGAGTGCAAACGTCCAGAAACAAACACAGTTCGAAAAGCAGCCCAACACATTCATATGCACATACACACACGAACATACGGAGCGACATTGAATGTGTATGCACACAATCGTGCAGAGAAACGGGAAACTCAGTGACTTGTGAATGTGAGTGAATAATTGTGAGAGAAGGAGAGGAGCCGACCAAGCCTGCAATAGGATAATTGATAAAACAAAACGCGGGCCCGGGCCGACGACCAACTTTGCGTTAAGAGCAGCTCAAGGATTCGGATAATCAGCAGGCGGAGGCGGCGGCAGAGACGAAGAACAAACCTCAAGCACTAGAGAGAGAGAAAGAGAAAAACAAAAGTTGTTGTTGCTAAAAATAGCAACAAATAGACGAACCCTGCGCCATCGTTGACGCAGGCCACAGGCGCTTTTACGTAGTACCTTAATTTCGATTTGTTTTCCAATTGGTGGTGGCTACAGTGTCTATTACCGTTAGCCTGGGAGTAGTGACAAGGCGCAAACTTGATATCCGCTCACCTACCGCACCTCGCACCTCTTCCCCAATAACAACAATCGAAATCAAAATTATGCTTTTGAAATTTACAAAAACCAGTGGAGCTGGCAATGCTGGACCGGGCTCCGTGGCGGGTTCCAGTTCATCCTCAATGCAAACGACAACATCGTATGCCGCTCGCGGAACAGGTTTGTACCTCCTCCCATGTATCTTTTCGTCTTACTAAATTGTGTAGATAGTACGTGTACCTTTGATGTACTTACATATGTATCTATGTACAAACTTACAAACATACATTCTTCCATATCTATTTTCTGATTCTTTGTAGGCTGTTTATGTCTATTTAGTTTTACATCTAAGGTAGTCTAAGGTAGTGGACGTGGACAAACAAAAATAGACCTCGAACCCGAAAGCAACAATGCATACATACATATGTACATATGTATGTTATTTACACCCATCCGTATTATCTGATCTCCTTTATAAAAATGTGTTCTGATTGATTACAACTTTCCCCTACCTAACCTGCCCCTTTTCAATATATCTCAATACATCGAACGAAAGCATTTGATTGCCTGCCCCCACAAATATTGCGACATTGAGAGGCGAATACGCACGTGTACGAAGCACATGCACACACCCTCATATGTATATTAATATGAATAGATTTTATGAATAAGGTACATGTGTATGTATGCATGTGTATAAATATGCTGCATACAGACACACTTTATTGGCTGTAAGTACTGTCTAAATCAGGCAGTAGCTCATAGGGTCCTTTGATATTTAATTCATCTGGAATCTACATTGTAGATTTACATACATACATATATCATAAGATTACCTATTCAGAAGCTTAATAACGGGTGGTACAGTGTTGCGGCACGTGTTCCGCAAGCCATCATACGAACTCCTAACGCTCTGCGGCTAAACCAGGGAAATATAGCTGCATTTATGCCAGTTTGAAAACTCTTTAATCGGAGATCCTGACATTATTACCTGTACATTATTAATGTACTACTTTAATCGTTTGTTTAATTCCTGGCAAGTCAGCTGCTGACTGGTTTAGCCAGTACTTAATGCTCTCTCGCCAAGGCAGAAACAGTTCATTGGGCTACCATCTCTGTTTGTTTATCTAAATTTCAATGTTGAGTGGAGCACACGTGGCAGCAGCAACAACAACAAAAACAAAAACAACAGCAATAGCATCATAAATGATAATTATTGCTGAAGATACAAATAAAAACAAATATACACACACATACATACGTATATATACGTGAAGATGGCCACAATCCTTCGCTGCGTATTTACCTTTTTCGCTGTTTGCTCAGTATTCCATTTCTCACTTTCTTCTTCGGAAGTCACTTCGTTTAACTGTCTCCACCAATTCCGCTATCCTGAGCCATTTGTTTGCTCGTTCCAAGTCTCATTATATAATTAAATAGATGTTTTTTCATTCCATTCAGGTATGTGACACTTGGATGTGCCCTTTGCATATGTACCCCCCATGGCGGTTGTATGAAAAATAAATAAATACATGGCTTCCTTATGGAAATGCAATGCCAAATGGCTTCGTCCTGTATTTAAAAATCGTTCTCCATCGGATCAGACAATTATCCATCTGCCATTAAATACATAAACATATTCTTATTGCCAACATGTCGGTTCAGTCTGCACGCAACAGCTGATGCAGTGACCTAATCAAATTTCCATTCAAGTTTATTTTTGTATCCTTAGTTATCGAGTGTGACAATTGATTGGCACTTTCCTTTTCGCTTTCCTTCGCAGCGAAGCCCTAAGATCCTGCTGACGTTGACAAAGACGCACAGTGGGGTCATAGTGGGGGTGCAAATCATCTCATAGGGAATATTACAGACTTTAGGACAAAAATGTGCAAATAGGTATTCAAATTTTATGAACACACTGCAGCTTTAAGTTAAGATTATACAAAAAATTGTTTTTCAAAAAGTAAAAAAAAAACAATTTTCTTCTTAAATTCTTGATTTGTTCTGTTATTAATGTAGCAAGCTGAAATTGCTGAAGGCCCCACTGTGCGATGTTTCTGTTCTCCCGCTCTCTCCCTTTCTCTCCCTTTCTCAGCCTGACTGTCTGTCTGTCTGTCTGTAAATTGCATTGAAAGTCTCGTGACTAGAATTGAGTCAGCAATTGTTTTGTTCACCCTCGCACTTGCCCGCTCCCGTCCCACAACCCCACTAAGGTTGGTTAATTTAATACAATTTTCTGCTCTCTAGATTAGTTAATGATCATCGTTGTTGTTGCTGCTGTTTGTGTTGTTTTTTCTCAGGTTACAGACTGTTTTGGTATTCACAGACCGACTGCGACAATCGACAACAATCGACGGCGACGACTACGACGACTTGAATAATTTCAAGTTAGTTAATAAACTTAATTATGTATGAAAATCGTTTTATTTTCTATTGTTGATGCGACAATATTATAGTTCACTCGCATTCCTCCCCCTGCTCCTACATATACCCATACACACACACACACACACTCCCCTCTTCCCCCCCTGTGTGGCAGTGCCTGAAATTAAATTGAAAATAATAATGAATGGCAGCGCCAGGTCAGTGTCTACAACAACTAAGGTACGACTTTTCGATTCCAACAGAGCGACTTCTATTCGACGACGACCAATCTCAAAATTGCTGTCAGCAAAACAACATCACCAATACAGCAAAATGTTTGTTGATTTTTCGGTGTGTGGGTATGTGTTTGCGCACAAAGAGATTCAGATTGAGATTGAGAGAGAGAATTAGTTACTAACATAATGTTAGCAAAGCCGAGGAGCGAGACCACCTTACCTTTTCTTTCATATTCCTATATATACTGACATTCATATGTGCATGTGTGCGCATGTGTTTACTTTGTGCCCGTCGACAACAGTGCTCTCTCCTGCTCTCCCTCGCACTCTCTCTTTCTCTTGCTGTTACTTGTTGATGAGGTTGGCTTTCCCCCAAAAAAGTATCAAGCTGAATCTTCTCTTATCTTCTCTTCTCTTCTCTTCTGTTCCAACGCTGCCTCTACTCTCTGTTTTGATCTTCGCATTTTATTTATTTTTTTTTGTGAGCCCACCTCAATTTGTTTGTTGTTGCGCTGCCACGCCACTGATGAGTGCAAGCAAAGACAATAGTATAACAGTACAATGAGGTACCATATGATTTTTTGGCACTCGAAATTTCTGACTGGCTCTTCTAGAGCTGGCTCCATTCTCTCTCGAAATGTTGTTTAAAAGCCAGAGAGAGAGAGGGAAAGAGCGCTGTAGACCCAGCCGCTCTTTCGTACACATTCAGATCTGCTTGCATACATACATACACACGTTTTTTTTTAAAGCGCTGTCGAAATATACCCTTCACTTGATAAGTACCATCGACTTTTGGAAAACGCTTGCCCACAAACACTTAAACCATCTTATTTTGTATATCCTTTATATTAATACTATTTTTGTCGATATGGATTTTGGACATTTTTGCATAAAAACAAAACAAATACAAATCTTCAATACAAAAAAAATCGTTTCGATTTAAAGTTCCAAAATTCTCATTTTTAAATGGGGAACAGAATCCTTAATAGAATCCACTTCATCATAGAGAGCATTTCTATTCTGTTTGGAGGGATTTCGAGCTGTCAGATCATTTGGAAATTTCCACTTTTCTGTTTCATTGCAAGGGCTCTTCCTTTTCTTGAGCTCACAAAATGGATCAGACCTGTTCGAAACGTTTCACAAACAAGCGAATAAAAATATCCAAATAAAGGCCATTGTAATGCCGGTCGGTCGATAAGCCTCAAACTGAAATTAATATATCGCCCCCATTACTGGCCAATTATTTTTTGGTATTTTCTGTTGTCGGTTGTTGCTGTTGTTTCTTGTCTCCGGCTACAACGAGAGACATAAAGTGCAATCAAAGTGTTTATTGGGGGCCTCGATGTCGTATCAAACTGAAGAGTTTCGAATTCAATGTGACCGTGTTTTGCCCCAGTATAAATCCATGAGTCACACAACTTCAGGAGACAAAATCCACCATCCGCATTCGCAGTGGGGAAATGAATTCTAAATGGACGAGCGATGAGACTGCCCCAATTCATGGAATAAATGATATGCAAAGCGCAGTTATTGAATGAACGGCGCACTGAGCTTTGCAGTTTTAATGGAAATCGTAGAGGGGACGAAGCTGTTTGGCATACGTTTACACCTCACGACCGATCTAGCAGTTACAATTATTAAAAAATGAAAACCGAAAAGTAAACTTTCAGCAAGATTGAAAATCTTGTTCACTTGCGATTCACCATTACAAATATTTGATCTGTTTCAATATATTTCCACATAATTCAATGAAAGTTATTTATATTAAGTTGAAGCCCAACAAGTTTTAGTAAGTAAAATATTAAAAAATGAATGAAGATGTGAAACACTCGCATCGAATGGTCGCAACAATAGTTAGCAGCGATATTAGTAGCACTTGTTATTGTCATTTGCTACGCCATTAAAGCCATTAAGTCTACTCCTCTCCATTAACTGCATCAACTGGAGGAATAACAGCCAGGGGAGGGCCAACGACAATTGCAAGTTGAAGGCCCATACGCAAGCCTGATAAAACGTTTCTTCGAAATTGGTTCGGAGCAGAAAACGGGCTTACACTGATTTTTCTCCCCACTACGCTCTCAGAGACTTGTCCGGAAATGCCGCTGAGTGCAAAACTGTGCTGGCTTTTGTAGTGACGTTTTAGTCATTCCAGGGAGTCCCCCCCAGCAGCCAGTTTAGCTTGGAAAATAATCTAAATGCTCGGTGGTAAGGGAAGGTTGATAGAGAATGAATCAATGGAATGTAAATGATTCTAAGCAGATTATTAAATATCCCATTGCAAATCTAGCATATGAACATGAGCTGAGGGTCAGCGTAACGGTGCGTTTCCGGAAATTCCAGCTGGAAATCTGAATGGAAATTCGGCTAATTGAAGAAGATAACATCTTGCGATTGTTAACAGTTTTGATAGAATAATTATTTGAGGGCTATCTAACCGATAATAAGTACCAACGTACTTCTCAACACAGACTTATTAGACCCGGTACTCGGCCGGTAGTTAGCAGCTTATTTCGCTTATAGTGATATCCCATCCCGATAGCTGATATTCGTCAATTCAAATTTGAACAACATCTGAACCAT